ATCATGACCTTCCAGACACCTGTAACGAATTGCTAGTGGCGAGATATGCCTTGCTCAGCAACAGAAGCAAAGCTTGAAGTAAAGCCTGAAGCAACTGCATGGCTCAACCTCGCCCTCAACCAGCTCAGTAAAAAATTCGCGAGAGCTACCGCTGGGGGGCTACCCCACTGACGTAGGCCGAAGCCAAAGTTGAACACAGCTTTTAAACCTGCACAGGGCGGCCGGCTCGCCTAAGGGCGGCCGGCTCGCCAAAGGGCGGCCGGCTCGCCTAAGGGCGGCCGGCTCGCCAAGGGCGGCCGGCTCGCCAAAGGGCGGCCGGCTCGCCTGAGGGCGGCCGGCTCGCCTAGGGGCGGCCGGCTCGCCAAAGGGCGGCCGGCTCGCCTAAGGGCGGCCGGCTCGCCTGTCGTCTTGCGGGCAGCCGGCTTGCCTAGACGCGGCCGGCTCGCTTGGATTCTTGACGACGGCCGTCCCACTTTAACGTGGTAAACCCGCTGTCGGGCGTCCAACTCGTAGTGCTTCTTGGTGACTTGTGATATCAAGTGAGCTTCGAGATGTGAGCGCAACAGGCGCGCTCTGTGTATTTGGACGTTAGTGAATAAAAACAAGAAAGAGATCGGACGAGCCATCATGAACACGAGTGCCTTTGTAGAATTCGGGTATAGGGTTTAGAGGTGCTTAAGTTAATGCCGTCTAGAAGATTAAAATCACACCCGTGCGCGTTTTCTTTACCCGGTGCCGCTTGCCGGGGAGTGGCCTGGGGCCTGACAAGGCCAGGTCCACTCATTTTTGGAAGCAATTTCTTATGTTTACACGGCATTAACTTCAAGCAAATTTTCTATCTAGTTACAATAGAGCTTCTAGCCCCCTGTCTGTATATAATTGACCGGGGGCTGGAAACCCGTAATAACAGTATTTATCATATGGACTCGGGAAAATACTATCTTGTGTTTAAGGAACCTTTCTATAGATTACAAAAACATACAAGCAAACTCGCCTGCGCCAGTCAGAAGGAACCTGGATTGTTGTTTCATGAGCATGTCGATATCACACAGCATCAGTATCTATACTACCCTCACAAGCATCAAGAGCATCATCACCACAAGATAAAAAGTAAACAAAACAACAAAAGAATGAAAGGCGAACCTTGCATGTCCGTTTCTACATGAGTACACAGGTTCAAGAAAAACGTTGCTGGCATGATCTGACGGAATGTATAAATAATAAAAGGCTACTGTTCTGTGTATGATACATGTTCATGTACATGGGGGCCTGGGCGTGCAAGGAGCTGGGCCTGGAAGATAGGGCTGGGGGTTGGGAGCTAGGGCTGGGAGGGGGCCAAAAAGTTTTTTTTGTTACCCTCAGACGATATCAAACCTCAAACCTCAGGCCGGAAATGTGTCATCTTTTCCGTGTTACAGAAAGAAGCATGACACATTTCAGGCCGGAAATGTGTCATCTTTTCCGTTTTACAGAAAGTGGCATGACACATTTCAGGCCGGAAATGTGTCATCTTTTCCGTGTTACAGAAAGAAGCATGACACATTTCAGGCCGGAAATGTGTCATCTTTTCAGCCTTACTCCTACTACTACTGCAACTGCTACTGCTACTTCCACGACTAGTTTAGAGTCCTCACGATCCTCGTACATTGCCCCATAAACGCCCTCGCCCCACGCTGCTCTGCCTAGGCGTGGGCAGGGGTGGGGCTGGAGGCTGGGGCTGGGGGGCGGGCTTGTGGGGCCAGGACTGCAGCGGGGCTGGGGCTGCGGCATACTTGGAGCTGAGGTGGCTGAGAGCCTGGGCGAGGCTGGCTGGCTGAGGGTAGGCTGGCTGGGGGTTGGGGCTGTGGGCGACAAGGTAGCTGCTGGAGGCTGGGGGGTGGGTCGAGGGTGGGGCTGGTGGGTGGCTCTGGGACTGGCTGGGGGCTGAGGGCTGAGGCTGGGGGTTAAGGGCTGGGGCTGGGGCTGGGGGCTTGGGCTGGGGCTGGTGGGGGCTGGGGGCTAGGGCTGGGCGCTGGTAGGGGGGGGCTGGGGGGCTTGGGGGGGCTGGTCGAGGCTGGGGCTGGGCTGGGGGGCTGGGGCTGGGGCTGGCTGCGGGGGCCAGGGGCTGGCGGACTGGGGGTGGTAGGGGCTGTTGGGCTGGCTGGGCTAGGGTGGGGCTTGGGCTGGGGCTGGTGGGGGCTGGGGCTGGAGCTGGCTGGGGCTGGAGCTGAACATTTAAATTTTTAAAATTCTTTAAATTCTTTAAAATCTTTAAATTTTTAAATCGGGACCATTTCGAAATTTAAAGAATTTAAAGGATTTACCCCCTTTAAATTTTTTAAATTCTTTAAATTTTTAATTCCGGACGATTTCAGAATTTAAAGGATTTACCCCCTTTAAATTTTTTAAATTCTTTAAATTTTTAATTCCGGACGATTTCAGAATTTAAAGGATTTACCCCCTTTAAATTTTTTAAATTCTTTAAATTTTTAATTCCGGACGATTTCAGAATTTAAAGAATTTAAAGAATTTAAAAAATTTAATTCCGTGGGCTGGGGTCGGAAGCTGGGGGGCTGGGGCTGGGGCTGGAGCTGAACATTTAAATTTTTAAAATTCTTTAAATTCTTTAAATTCTTTAAATTTTTAAATCGGGACCATTTAAATTTAAAGAATTTAAAGGATTTACCCCCTTTAAATTTTTTAAATTCTTTAAATTTTTAATTCCGGACGATTTCAGAATTTAAAGGATTTACCCCCTTTAAATTTTTTAAATTCTTTAAATTTTTAATTCCGGACGATTTCAGAATTTAAAGAATTTAAAGAATTTAAAAAATTTAATTCCGTGGGCTGGGGTCGGAAGCTGGGGGGCTGGGGCTGGAGCTGAACATTTAAATTTTTAAAATTCTTTAAATTCTTTAAATTCTTTAAATTTTTAAATCGGGACGATTTCAAAATTTAAAGAATTTAAAGGATTTACCCCCTTTAAATTTTTTAAATTCTTTAAATTTTTAATTCCGGACGATTTCAGAATTTAAAGGATTTACCCCCTTTAAATTTTTTAAATTCTTTAAATTTTTAATTCCGGACGATTTCAGAATTTAAAGGATTTACCCCCTTTAAATTTTTTAAATTCTTTAAATTTTTAATTCCGGACGATTTCAGAATTTAAAGAATTTAAAGAATTTAAAAAATTTAATTCCGTGGGCTGGGGTCGGAAGCTGGGGGGCTGGGGCTGGGGCTGGAGCTGAACATTTAAATTTTTAAAATTCTTTAAATTCTTTAAATTCTTTAAATTTTTAAATCGGGACCATTTCAAGATTTAAAGAATTTAAAGGATTTACCCCCTTTAAATTTTTTAAATTCTTTAAATTTTTAATTCCGGACGATTTCAGAATTTAAAGGATTTACCCCCTTTAAATTTTTTAAATTCTTTAATTTTTTAATTCCGGACGATTTCAGAATTTAAAGGATTTACCCCCTTTAAATTTTTTAAATTCTTTAAATTTGTAATTCCGTATATACACAGTATATATTAAGACACAGAGCAAGCCCTACGCCAAATAGAACCTAAAGGTCCTACGTACATACCCTTATAGAATCCCTATAGATCCCTTTAAAGGGACCCTTAAAGGAACCCTTATAACTACCTATGAAGCTCCAAATAGGGTTTAGGGTTTGGGGGACTTCCGGAGGTCAAGGGCTCAAGGTTTCGCGTTGCGTCAGGCTGAAGACTGAAGTAATCGCCCGAGATTTACTTGGAGGTTCATGGGTAGTTATAAGGGCTCGGTGAAGGGTCCGGTAGTTATAGGGCTCGTCAAGGGTCCCTTTAAAGGGATCTATACTTGGAGGTTCATGGGTAGCTGGAAGGGTTCCTTTAACGGTCCCTTTTAAAGGGCTCTATGGCGATTCCTTTAAGGGTATAGGGTTTAGGGCCTATCTTGGAGGTTCATGGGTAGTGATAAGTGGGGGTGAAAAGTCACCCACTAGAGGTTGTAATTATAGTTACTCTACTTATTATCCCACTTTTAACTGCACATCACCCTGAAAGTAAGGCCGAGGCGTTCAATGAATCCTCAGTCAGCTCCTTTGTACTTCAAGTTCTTCCTGTCCTTCTCCGATTGTCTTCGGGTTTGGTGCTTCGAGCATGCACCTCAAGACCCATTTCCAAGAGCCCAAGAAACCCAGATCCTGAAGCTTACGCGTGCAAGTAGTTTCAGGCTGAGCCACGGAACTCTGGAAAGCTGGAGGACCTGTTCAGCTTAAACCGGCATCGTCTACCCTACTCCCTCGACAGCACATGACTACGAAGCCTCAAGTACCAAGCCATCTTTCGCCTCTGGGGCAGTTGAGGTAAGGTTTGCATTCGTGCACACTCCGCTCCTCAGGAAAATTGATGGCCGTACGGTTGCCTTATCCTTACGGTGATGCTAGAAAGCAAAGGTTCTCCTTCACATCACCTTAGGTAACCTTTAGGTGACACCCTGAACCCGCAACCCGGACAGTTGGCTCTAAGCCCCAGAGCATCTCCACTGCTTGAAGTCCGACTGCTTGAAGACCCGAATTCCTTAGCTTCTACAGCCAGTACCGTCTAGCAGCGCCCTAAGCCTGGACAACGACAGGAGATGCCTAGCAGGGTTGAGGGTCTGGGGTTCAGGGGAAGGGTTTAGGGCTTCAGTGCTACCTGTACTTCACTCCCGGCCCCGGCATCCCAAAAACCTTGAGCGAAATCCTCATTGCGCTCACACCCTTCTGCCTTCAACCCTAAACCCTACTGCCGTTTAAATTAAATCTTTATGCCCTTGAAAACCTGAGTAGCAGGAATGATGCGATGATCAAATGGTATTGCTATTGTATGTACAGCTGCCTGAACAAGCATCTTACTTACATTTATGTTGGCATATTTGAACTCTTCATGTGTACTTACACGTAGACGTGTGTATTTAAGTCTTTTCTTTTAAATATTTCCCATAGATGATAAACCGCCCCCCCCCCCCCCCATCTCATCCGAAAGCTTGTTCGAGGCCCCTCCTAGAGCCAGCGCCGGCCAAACGCGCCTTGGCGTCGCTTCGCGTCAGCGCCAAGGAGCTGGCAAAGGAGAAGCCGGGGCCTTACACGGTCTAAGGTTTCGGGATTTAGGGTTCAGGGGCTTCGTGTTTCGGGTTAAGGTCTGGTTAAGGTCTAGGGGATATTAGAGTTCAGGATTTGGGGTGTTGTTTTCGTGGTTCTATTGGGGTCTAGGACTTCAGAAAATGGGGTCCTTAAAAGGGACTGTAGGCTTTGGGGTAAGGGTTCCGTTAAGGCTCAGACTGTCATTGGTGTTTAGGGCCTTTTGCGGCGTGTGTGTGGGTGTGTGTGTGTGTGGCTTTTCAATGATTGCTTTTTCTGCTGTTGAAGGGAATCCTGGGGTAGAGAATTATGGGGGCTTAGAGGCTTAAAGAGGGACCTTGAAGAACCCATTCAAGACCCCTGATAGAGACCCTATAGCACCCTTATCCCTTATACAGCCCTAAGGCCGCAAAGCATTGGGTTACCGGGATCAAGAACCGCGATTTTGTTGGGAGAGATCCTGTAAGTCTCTACATATGCGTGCTTGGCCCCCTGAACCCTGCTTGGATGAGGTCAAGTTTAGTTCGTTAGGCATGAAGGTGTAGTGGCTACGACTACGAATGGGATCACCCTAAAGCCTCAACCCCTGAACCCAAAGCGGTTTAGGGTTCAGCATGGGTTTAAGTATGGAGGCTTCAAGTTAGAAGGCTTGTGGACTAGGGCTTCGGATTTGATTTGGGACTAAGGGTTTAGTTAAGGGACAGGGTTTAGGGCTTAGTTAAGGGATCATCGTTTTTCAGTAGAAGGTTTTAGAGATCAGGGCCTAGCTTTCAGGGATATGCGTTCAGAGTTCAGCGGTAGGCCCAAGGACTGGTTTTGTGAATCAGAGTTCATGAATTCGGGACAAGGGCTTAGGGAGAGGGTCCGGTGTACCGGTGTGTCCTTTTTGGTTGGGGGCCCATGTCGCCAGTTGAATGGAATGGCCTTGAACCGAGAAATGCCACTACTAAGCTGTTTAGGGTTTAGGGCATAGGGCATAGCCTTTGATTTTTAATCCCTAATTCAGAACCCCGAGCACTGAAAGGTTGCAGATGCTTCAGCGACAGCGTGCTGAGGGGATCCTCTATGCCAAGATGGAGGCAGGAGACGGATTCCTAAAGCCTCAGACAGTTTAGGGTTTAGGGTTTCAGCCTAAACATACGAGCATCTCGTGGCTGAGGGTTCCGCGTTTAGGGTTGAGTGTCATTTTCCATTTCCCTTGCCTCACAGGGCTCGGTATAGGTCTACTGCTCGGGGTTGGGGTTTGATGCCCCCTTCGAAGATGCTGCACACCGTAGCATTTTGGGGCTTTCGCTTCGTAAGAACCCAGACATTTGGACAACCAAGTAACATGAAGTTCTAACATCCAATCCTCCAAGCCGTGGAAGTAACGGGTGTTAGGACCACGGTCTCTCCACGCAAAGATCTCGCGATGTCTGAAAACATATATAATAGCAAAGGGATTGATCCTTGTTGAACCGGAGGAAAGGCCTAGGGCCCACGGGACCCCCAAATTTTCAACAAATAACTTGCAGATTTCACTTGGGAATTCCGGCTCGGATATTAATATGATCTTGCGCCTACTTAAAAGTTCAGCGTAGGTAGGCTTTTATGGGTCGGGCTGTTTCCACCGCAAGCTGTACTCTCCAGGGCTTGCTTTCGAGAGCTTGGGTTTAGGATTTGGGGTTTCGGGCTTCAGGGTTCGGGGTTGAGGGTTGAGGGCTTCGGGTTCGGGGTTTCGGGGGTAGGGTTGAGGTTGGTGGAAGGCAGGGTCGAGAATTCGTGCTTCACCGATTCTTTTGAAGACGTCTCACGGCGAAAGTAGAGATTGAAATATCGGCGGAAGTAGAGATTTTACGACTTTGGGCCGGTGCCCCAAGATGTCAGCTTGGCCAGGCTCCATCAACATTGCAACTTCATCGCATGAAGTCGTCCAAAGCAGCCGCCCCAGCGGCCTTCTGGGGAGAGCGTCGAGTTCATTTGCTTGAAGTTCAAGGTAAGGGTTTTGGGTTTAGTGTTCAAGGTTAGAGGTTTAGGCTTGTTGGGGGTTTCAAGAGCTTCATGCATCCTTTCTTGTGATGAAGGCATCGTCCTCGGTTTATTCAGCCTTTGTCGAGCAAGCATGGAACTTGTTGCAACAGTATAACGGACGGCTAACGCCCCTATATCAGTGCGAAAGCCCACCCACCGACATGTCCCTACCTTGAAAAACTGCGAACCCCGAACGTGCGAGCCCTAGCACCCAAAACCCTGAGCCAGCTGCCCTTAGCAGTTGGGTGAGCAACCTGCAAGCGTTTCGGCCGTTCATCGACCTTGTTCAGCCATTCACTTCACCTCGGCAACTAGGTCTCGGAATCCGCATGAGGGGGTATTTATTCTTAGGGGAAGGGACTTTGTGTATTTATACATATATATAGATAGATTCAAGATGCCATTACCTTCTTTATTTGCATCGAGTGTAGGCTGTAGACGTATGAGAATCGCTGATGAAATGCCACCACGAGACGCTGCAAAACTCACGTGGCCTGTTCGAGCGATACTACAATGAGGTTCAGAATAACTAGTAGTACCATTCCGGTGTCGCCCTGCATGGTCCGGATATGATGACATAAGTCTATCAACATGCTTTACTTCAGGGACCTATTCAATTCATTCAGGCGCCTACATTACTTCCCCGAGACCGACCCTCTGCATCGCCACTCAGCATTGGCCAAACCCATCACGATGGAGGAGCTCAGTGCTACTCTCAAAGGCATGGCTTCACAGTATCCAAACCAGAAGTAGAGCAAGTAACCTTTATCGTTGTTGGGTACTATAGCCCCCGTAAACAACCCAAACATCAACCTGCAGTTCCCAGGGTGCATTTGATTCGTTGGTTTCACTGTTTCACACGGCTGGGTCAGAGTTGCCGTATCAACATCCACTGAACCTTGAAGCCCCCGGCCGTAACCACCCTAAAGTGCCCTGAACCTTATACCCATAGCAAGTATAGAAGAAGTTCATACAGGCATACTTTTTGCTTTGCTTTGCAGGCGTTCAGAGGTTGTACGCGGCCTAATTAGAATGCAAGTCGCAGCGGAAGCTTCGAAATGGCTCCGCGAGTGGGCTATCCCAGAAGTCTGGCGGGCCGGAGAGCTGTACTTCTCCTCCATTGAGGAGGTGTGTCCAAGCCTCTTGTAGGACCCTGGGAATCCAGCACCACAAACGTCCTAGCACGGCCGAAGAGCTCACTTCAGCACTACACCTTGACCATTCGGCTTCCCAATCAGGGGGTAGTGTGAAAGCTGAAATGTGCCGGGTCCCGTACATGTCGTTGATCTGATTGACAATGGAGGCCCAATCATGGCCTTCTGCCTCGCCAGAGGCCGTCTCGAAGGTGATGGGCAATATCCGTGGCCCATCGATGTTTGGCCCGACTTCCCACTCGGTGTTGAGGAAGGTGTCGATAGCCTGTTTGATTGCTGTGCTGACCGAAGGCGTCCAGCATTCCTGCAATAGTTCCGACTCGACGAGGGTAATCTCTTGCGATATCTCGAAGACAACCGCCTGGACTTCCTCAGGGTAGAGCGGGAACTTCTCGAGCTCCTTCTGGATGAGGCAAAGCGCCTCTTCGGCACCCGTGGGCAGGTCCTTTTCCTGGAGCGCTAGGCTGAGGGCAGAATGGGCAGCCTTCTGGACCGTGTCCCAATCCTCTCCAGCCTGCTGTGGCGCCGATGGGGCCACCTTCATCGGTGGCGCAGGATGGTATTCCTCCCGGTCTGCTTTCCGTCGCTGGCGGCTTCCGATGCCCGGCACAAGTTTCGCAACAGTCACCCCTTCTGCACGGAGAGTCGCCACGCAGGTAGGCGTGTCGCGGAGGTGCCGGGCCAACCGTCCAACCGTCCAGTACTGGACACCACAGGAGCGGCATATGGAGCCACTCACAACTGAACGGTACTTCGCACACCGACCGTGAGTCTTCTGGAAGTGGGCACCAAGGGCCCCCTTGGAACGGAAGGTCTTTGCACAGGGGCGACACACGTGCTGAGTGCTGGCTAGACGCGCCTCTGGTAGTCGCTCCCAGGCTTTCCTGTAGAGGGCCCAGAGGGACAGAGCAAGGCGCTGCTCCTTGTAGTAGGCAGCACTGGCGCTTTTTGCTTTAGCAGCAACTTGCCGTTTGTACCAAGCTGTGGAGTCGCAAAGGATACTCCTCCATTCCAGCCAATGCGCTGGGCCAAGAAGCGGCCACCGCTCTTCATTGCCCTGACGAAGCCACAACATGTCGGCCTGGATTGTCTGCAGCCAGCTTTCCTCCTCCTGTAGTGCCGCCCATAGGGCGACCGGGGCTGTCCTGGCAATCGAGGCCAGCAATGACAAACGGGCCTTGGTCGCCACCACGTGGAGTGGTGGACACTCCGTAGCAATGTGCGCGAAGACAGCGGGAATGTGCAAAAGGGCCTCGGAATTGACATCTTTCGTCAGGAGCCTCCGCACCAAACGTGCATAACCTCCACATAATTTCGCCCAATCTGGTCCCGACGGAGTCCACAAGGCGAGGTTGTGGAGCGTAGACGACACCGCAACCTGAAAGATGGAGGAGCGCACGGAGAGGGGGATCGTGGTGTTGAGGTAGATGAGGTCCTTGCCCTTGTCAAAAGCGGTAGTAGCAATAGCCAATCTGCGCTTGGCCTCGCAGCTTCCATAGCCATGGGCTTCTACGAGGCCGCCGAGGTGCTTGTAGTGGTTGGCGACCTGGACCTCCAGGGCCACATCTTGGAGTCGTACAGTACGCCGACCGTGTTCGAAGTAACTGTACTGGGCCTTTCTGGCTCCTGTGCCTGAAAGACGGAGCAGCAAAGCCGTTTTCCCGGGTTTCAAATTCGGAACAAGCCCGTAGCTTTGGCATTGGCTGATAACGACCGAGCAGAGCCGCGTTGCTTTAGCCATAAGCCGAATTGGAGACCGGTCGGTCACAGCCCACGAGCTGTCATCAGCCCAAGTGGCGTCACTGGCACAAGCCGCATCACCCGCACCAGGGGCCGCGAAAGGCCCTTCTGAGGTGTCGGCACAGATGTTGTCGAGCAGCTGCTCTCCACATGCCACTTCCGTGATCCGAGCCAGGACTCGTCCGAAAACAAAGCTGAAGATGACGTCCGCCCAGCTTTCGCCAGGCCTGCTCCCCGCACTCGTGCGGGAGAGCAGGCTTCCGTCCCCGTGCGGGGATACGAACCAAGTGTTCGCATGGAGGTCTTTGGCCATGTGGCGGATCGTTGGGGGAACTCCAAGGTCTGCCATCATCCCTCCTTCCGAAACTTCCTGCATTAGCATGTGGAGGTCCTCTGGAGGGACACGGAAACGTTCAAGAATGGAGACGACGGCGGCATCACTTTCGATAGCTCCAGTGGCAAGTTCTCGGCAGATCTTGTAATATGCAGCCTCAGCGTCCAGGAAGAGGATGCCGACTGAGTGCCCTCTTGAACTGGCCCGCCGAAGGAAGGAGAGGATGTATGCCGCCGGGTACAGGACAGGCTGCCCCTTTCTTGCCCCCATGTGAAATTCGTGTAGGCCTTCATTGACGAGGCTTTGGATCTTCCTTCTTGTCAATTTGTGGAAGCACTTTCCCACGATTGAAGACACAAACAAACTTCGATGCGAGGCTGGGTCGCATCTCTTGCCACTCTGTTTCCAGCACTCGTACAGTACTCCACCTCTCCATTGTATAGGTTGGCAGAGCATCAGTGAGGCTTTGGTAAAGAGGGACTGGAGAGCTGCCGACATTGGGCCCGATGCAGCCTTCAGCACCTCCGATGGAATCCCATCCAGCCCTGTTGCGCGCCCTTTGGGCGCCAGCCGAATGACCGTCTCGATCTCAGTCAGACTCGGCAGATCAGTGGCCTGCCATTGGAGCTCATGATCGACGAGGATGGGGCAGTGCTCCCTCTCGAGGAAATTGTGCACGGTCTCAACCTGCCCAAGCTCTTGTTTGCCAAAATGCTGGAGCCAAAGCAGATCGCGGTCCCTCCTGGTCTTGATCGGCTTCCCTGTTGGGTCAAGAAGCAGAGGGAGCTGGCGGGAAGGCTTCTTCATCTTAGAGCCCCCGAGGCCTGCCTTTCTGAGGTGGCAAAGGATGTCTGCAGGGTGCGATCCACCCTCAGCAGCAAATTTCCTTAGGTAATCGGCCTTGGCAGTGCGGATTCCCTTCTTGATCAGTGAAGTGGCATACCCAATAGCAGTCGAAGCCAACTGGTAGAGGAGGCCTTGCTTGTTTAGGAGCTTTTCGACTCCCATGTCCACGCCTTGCTGCCATTGGAGGAAGGCTCTGTGGATGAGGCTGCTCCACAGATTGGACCTGCTTCTCGTGCGGAGCTTAAGGTCAAGTTTCGCTTGCCGTAGGCTCCATATCTTTTCCGGGATGTAGTCGGCTCGTGGGTCATCTGGCTGTTTGAGGAAGTGCTCGTCGAGGATGCCCTGGACATAGGAGGTGAAATGAAGACAGTGTTCATCAGGGTGGGTGTGCCAGGGTGGCGGACAGTAGGCACGCATAGCCGCTGTGACCTTTGCTTTCCCCTCCTTTGTCGCCAACTTTCCAAGGTTGTACTTAGGCCTCCATAGGCGGGTCTGCTCACCCGCTTGTGGGATGGTGGCCGTGAAAGCAGCTCGAACCGCCCAGTGATCATCAGATGGTCCTCCGACATCAAGGTTGTAAAGGACCCGACTTTCAATTTGATGTACCACACACTTACCACCTTGAACAATAAAGTCAAGGCGGTGGAGGGGCCCTTGAGGGTGTCGGTATGTGTGGGACTCCCCCTGATGGAACTGGGAGAAGGTTGCTGGCAACCAAAGGCCAAGACCATGAAATGCTGCTGCCGCTTCACAGCCAGTGGCGTCCGGGTCCCCTATGAGAAGATCACCGGTGACCAGCTCACTGGAGGCCGGCGGTCGGCCGTTCAGGTCGATCCCTCCAAGAATCACATGCGCCCCGCGGAGGGGAGCAAGCGTGGAGTGGAGGTCTTTGATGAAGTCGGCAGCGGCTTCTCTTTGACCAGAGTGCGGACAATGGGCCGCGAAGAGAACGAAGCGGAGGCCGGCGACGGAGACCTCAACCACGAGCAGGCGCGGGGATTCTTTGACAACATAGAAGTCCTGTTCTTGGACATGTACAGCCTTCCCTGCTGACGTGAAGAGGCCACGGCTCCGACTCACCCAGATTCCGACGCCCCAGTGCTTTTGGGAGTCGGTGGCCAGCCTCAGGTATTCCCGCGAAGCGCATACTCCAACCGGCAGCTTGGTTTCCTGCATGAAAGCGATGTTACATCCTTCCTCGGAGAACTGCTCCTCGAGATACCTGCACTTGTCCCGCAAACCTTGTACGTTCAAGGAGATTGCCACCATGTCAAAGTCCGTGGTTGCCGTGGTCCGCAGGCCAATGTGCTTAGTCGTGGTGGGGACAAGCTGGTCAGGCTGAAGACGAAATTGCTTGAAGCTGGCCTCCGGCTCCCACTGCAGTTTGTCACCAGTCAGGAAAGGTAGTGCATGCCGTTGGGTTGGATCAAGGGCAGGTGCGACCCACGAGAGGTCATTCTCAAGGATGAAGGCCACAGCCTCTTCGGGCGGAGCAAATCCCTGGAGGTGCCCAACCGCTGCTGACTTCGCGATGCAGTCAGCTAGCTCGTTCATCGGGTGGTTGTTGTGAGCTTTGACATGTTGGTACTCCACTGGTGCCCCGACTACCTGAGCCAGCCATAGTTGGAGTTGTCGGACACGCTGCATCATCTCACAGTCAGGGGCCCACTCACCACTAGCAGCCATGCCAGCTGCTAAGCAGTCAAAGCAGAAGGTGACCGAGGAGAAAAGAATCCACGGCGTGGATTGGAACACCCACAGCATGGCACTGGCAAGGGCATACTGCTCATTGCGTAGAGCTGGTGGGCCGGATTGTGGCCACAAAGAGTCAGCTTTGCCGTGCGTCTGAGAGCATATCGCCCCGAAAAGGGCATGCTTGTTCTGCACTTCAAGAACGATGACAACGGCAAAGCCTCCGAGACCTTCCTTTTCCAACCATGAGCCGTCAGTGTAGAGCCGGAGGTGTGGGGGGGCGCCAGTACCGCTCGATGAAAGCAAGGACGTCCATGGCCAGAAGGTCTGCAGAGCATTCACAGTGCACTGGGGCAATTCCAAGCCATTGACCTCGAATGTCAACCATGCCGGAGGCCATGGCCGGTAGATCGCGAGGGGATTGAAGTCAGCCTGTGGAAGTGCAATAGTATTCGCAGAGAGACTATAGCATTCAACCTCCTTCGCTGGGAAGTGCTCGAAGAGGGAGATGGCTCTGGGTTGACTGCCAGGGGTTTGTCTGCCCCTCCCTGGAGAGCGGCTATGTTCTCGGTTTACCGGCTGTGGCGGTGGGGGGCCGAAAGGCCCAGGCCCCGTCGGGAAGGGTGCCTCTGGTAGCTCGTCTGAGGAGGGTAGAACATCCCGGGTGGATTCCGAGTCATCATCTCCGGAGTGCTCGTCATCGTCATCGCCACTCTCTTCACCCTCCTGCTGGGTGGGAGTGATGTCCGCTGTGGGCCTCAGCGAGGCATCAAGAAGGTCGCCATCCTGGATGTAGAGGAGCCCAGGCGTACGTCCTTTGCGCCCCCCTGTGACTACCAGGGAGAAGCCCTGGCAGAAGTGAATGTCCAAGGCCTCAATGACATCACCAGGAAAGAAGCAGTCCTGCTGTAGTGCGACCCAAATGGGCCAAAGGCCGACGCCTCTCAGATCAAGGGTCACGATGTAGGAGTCGATGGGAGGGTGCTCAAAGGCGTCAACAACCGCTATGACTGAGTGCACCCTCCGACCCTTCCAGTAGAGGCCAACCGGTCGGTGCGTAGGAGCTCGGACCCAAATTTGCTGCTGCTCCCTGTCGAAGATCTCGCTCGCGACGGCGAGGGGGGTGAAGAGGTCATCGCGGGCAACCCGGTGGAGCTTCTGGTCCGTGGCGGTCTGGAAAGCGATGTGTGACCCTTCCAAATGATTCGGGTGCGGGGCATCCGGGTCCCAATTGGCTCGCAGGACAAGCCTGGGCTCGATGTTTGAGGCCCACTGGACCGGCGTTCCTCTCCGGAGCACCTTCAGGAGGCCAGCGAGAGGTGGTTCAACCGTCTCATCCTCGGACATCGGGGCTCCTCGGCCAAAAGCGAAGACATCGATCTCGTAGTCCGGGATGGTTTCTAGCTGTCGAAGGACATGGGCCCGGGTGATGCTGCCTTTGTGGTAGAAGGCGAATTGTCCTTGTCCAATTTCGCTCGCATCAAGGACAAGGACAGTCTGGGGGGACGTCCTCAACCAACATGGCAGTATAACCACACTTCCATAGTCATTGCTCAGCTGAGGTTGAGTGAAAGCCGCAGCGGTGAGCCATGGAGCAGTAATAACTCGGGCCGTGTCCCTGAGGAAGTCGAGAACATCCTCTGCAACGAGCGGGAATGTTAACGAGATATCGATGGACTCCGACTCGTAGTGGGGTGATAGGAGGCGGAAGGAGATGTGGGTGGTGTCTTCGTCCTCTTCATCAAGGAGCCATGGCTCCAGCTCTTCCTGGGCAATGTCCCTCGGGGGGGCCGGTGGCGGCATCTGATGAGGCCTGCCTCCGTTGAGATTGTCTGGCCAAAGAGCCTGGCTCTCAAGAGGGGTCTCAGCAATAGCTCGCTGCAGAGCCAATGCCAGCTGCTCTGAGACCGTCAACTGCCCACTGCACCAGAGTTCAAGGTCAGTTGGTGGAGGAAGTCGAGTCGGCCACCAAACTTGACCATGCGGCCTCTCCGGGGTGACCGCCTGCACCACATTGGTGCACATTGCTAGAGGGAAGACGAAGTGGACCCACTTCGCCCGGAAAGCCTTTCCTTTTTGCCTCGCCGCGAAAGGGCGGGACCATACCAAATGACACCCCAAGATGGTCACCTCCACAACCGCGACAATGAGGAAGAAGGGCAGGGAGAAGGATGCGCCAAATTGTTCGCACCATCCCACAAGGGAAAGAAGGCCCTGCCAACCCAAGGACATGACCCATTGCTGCACGTCCAAGATATCCCGCCAATGGTCATTCTCAAAGGATGTGGCCAAAGGTCCAGGCGGGGCTCCTAGACGAAGGATTGAAGGAAGCAGCGGAACTTGTGTCCGTGATACCTTGACGGGCCTCACACATGAGTGTTGGCGGCCGAAAGGATGTTCATACTGCTGCCTGAGGACGAACCGAAAAAGCCTCGCAGCAAAGAAGGGGTCTTCCATCTCCATGGCATACTCCCCATCGTGGTAACTTTGTCGTATTGGCTCACCAAAACCAAGGATTTCGCTGCTGTGGTGGCCGTGTACCGCTATAGAAGACTGTTGCCTCATGCCCTTGCTGGCATTCGCCACCTCTTCTGGTGGCCGGCCAGGTGCTAGTCGATCTCGATGTGCTCCGGTGGGCCTGCAGCCGCACGAAGGTTCCCGATGATCATCTCCTCGTTGTCGATCTGCTCCTCTCCCGCACCTTGGATCTCCGATCGTAGTGCCTCCCTGCTGGCTTCGAGCTTGGCCGCCAGGGATGTGGAAGCAGAGGAGGGCGCCGACAGTGGCTGCCTTCCTTGGGCCTTGAGAGGGGTCCTTGGGTGGGCATTGCGAGCTTTCTGCCCTGGTGAGGGCATCAGGCGAGGACATGTAGGGCTCCTCCTTGGGCCGCATAGCCGAGTCCGTGCTCGCCATACCAGGATCTGCAGGTAGTACAGGATGAGCACGAGGTCGGGCTGCCGGTGCCGGTGGTGTCATCTGTGGCACATCCGTCGGTCTGCGGGGCGGACTGCGTTCCCTTTCTCGTGCTTGTCCACGACGATGGGCATCCAGGACCTCGAGCAACTGCTCCCTTGCCCCAGCTCCTCCAAGTGCCCCTGCGAGGAGGCCAGAGAGGCCTTCGTCGCTGTCTGTGCCAGGTCCTCGCATGAGACGGTCCCATTCCTCCATCGCTTCTTTTGGCGGGGCTTCTGGAGGCGGGCTGGTCTTGTACTGTGCCGGGTTGGCGAGGAACTTGTACAGCTCCTCGATGGCCTCCGTCTGGTGCTGTTTGGCATCCTCCTGGTCGCCCTCGAAGCTTCGTGCTGTACTCGCGGTATCTCGACCATTCCTTCATGAAGCTTTGCTTGAGCTCCTTCTGGAAACATTCCCACTTCTCGTTCACCTGCGATTGTTCTTCGGAACACTTCCTCAGGCGATATTCTGCTCGGCGTAGGTTGTTGGTCAGCTTCTGGACTGTACGGAGGAAGTCGCCAGCACCCGCGGCCTGCTGGCCTTCCTTCGGCTGTGGCTCCTGCTTGCCAGTCTTGGGTTCCCGGATCACCATTGCGTCGTACTGGGGGAAGCGTGGTCCCGGTTGTTCTCGGGGGCGTCGTGGTTGCCGAGCAGGAGCCTCTGTGTAGTAAGAGGAGTAGTCCTGCCAACCATATGCCTGCTCTGCATACTTTTCTGGCCACTGCTGTCCCCATTTTCCAGCTTTTCCCATAGGCAAGTGGGAAGCTTCGCGGTATAAGGGGCCAGAATGGTGAGAGGAGAGCCGGCGGAGATCAGCGGGCAGCGGTTGGAGCAGACAGGCCCGGGCAGAATGAATCCTTGCCCTGGCCTTTGATCGCAGCTTTCTCGCCCTCCGGTGCCAAGCCGGGGATCGCGGGTTTGCAGCTTTTCCTATGGCTGCTTGGCGTGCGCGGCGCACTGGGGTCTTCGGCAATGTCGCTAAGACTCGATCCGAAACCCTTACAGGCATACATATATATATATATACATACATACATAGACATATATATATATATATACACATCACATTCATCGCAAGTGCCAAGGCCGGCCTGATACAGATGGATGGCACCTGGGAGCAAGCAGCTATGGCCAGATGCCTACAGTTCCCAGGATAAGTAATTTGGGTGTTGCTCTGACGGCCATCGTCAGCGGTAGTAGTATCATGACAAACGGGAGTAGCGTCACAATTCTGACTTTGGCTTCCGCATTGTCTTGGCAGGAGAACTCTCGTTTCAAGTTGGTAGTCTGACTCTACGAGCAGATGGGAGTTTGGTACTACTAGTAGTACCAGTAGTACTAGTAGCACCAGCAGTACTAGCACCAGCGTTAGTACTAAGCGTGATGGCAAGCCCACAGTGCCCGCTAAACACAACACCATAAAGCCGTTGTCATCATCACGACACCAATCGGATGATCAATGTGCAGAAGAGTTGCTACACCCAGAACAGTCAAGCCTTAGTAAAGGTAGAGGTCTGACTATGTAGTAGTACTATCCCGTGACAGTCCCCGCTATATGTATACAATACTATACCCCAAGCAATGTTCTAGTTCTAGTTTGTTCACCCCCTACATTATACGAGTCCTTACTGCGAGAAGGGCTCGCTTGGTTGCGGATTTGTAGCGGAGCTGAAGGGAGTTTCCGAAAATCGGGGACCCTAATATATTACCCTACAGAATGGGATCCTTATTATAAGGACCCCAAAATAAGGTGCCCCTGTTTTCGGAAACCCCCGAACTGTGGATTTTGTGCTTAAGCCTTCGACCGAAACCCTGAACCCTAGGGTTTGGAGCTTAGGAACTGAAGCTTTTGAGAAGGCCCCCTGAAACATCTAGGCCTGTGCCTTGAAATCCTCATCAGCTCGGGTCCTGCGCACCCGATATAGGACTATAGGACTCGCGTGAACAAGTATACTTGGAGGTTCATGGGTAGGTATAAGTAGGGTTTTAAGTCCCCCAAGATGGGTTACAATTATAGCTACAGTACCTTGTTTATGACCCCACTTATCAGAACCACCCATGCACCTCACCTCCAAGCAGGGCTTGGAGTTTAGGGCCTAAAGGGAGCTACCTGCAAATCCTTCTGAGGGTTTGTCTCGGAAGCTCCTTTAGAGATGAGAATCTGTCGGGGGTTTTGGGTTTAGGGTTTAGGGTTTAGGGTCTCGGGCTCGCCTGAGCCTTGTGGTTTCGAGCGTCGGGAAAGCATTCCTTTGCAGAACCTTCTCATACTATAGGGGCCGTAATAATGACCTATACTATATTTTTTGGGGGGAGGGGTCCTTATACCAATTACAGTATAATGGGCCCCAAAACCCTATTCTAACTATTAAGGCCCCTATACAACTTGCTTTTGGACACCGATAGAAAATCTTTGTCAAGGGTGTGAGGCTCGAGTGGGGCTCGAAACCGGGGTATTGGAGTTGAGGTTTCATCCTGATCCCGCAAAATCTATCTATCTGTATATATATATATATATATATATATATATATTTGCCCTTATTACAACGTACTTATAAGTATCAGTGTCATTATTTATTCCTGTTATTACAATTACGTATTCATGTTATTATTGTTGGCCCCATTAATTTCGCTGCCGACACACTTGGACTTCTCCCTCAATCTGGCGACCATGGGCTCAGGTTTGCCATAACATTTGTCGGGCAACCGTGCCCGGACGTGATGACCATGGCGTGCATGGCGGAATCCGCACACACAGCTGCGTGAGTTCTTTGAGGGGTACCACGCTGTCATGCGGCTTCTCGATGCCGATGGGCGACGGTGGATACTATTCCCTCCTGAAGTCACAAGTGAGTGCGGGTTTAGGGTTTTGGCTGCGAGCCTGATGTCCTTCACCGAGTTCGCCCGTCGATGCACGATGCTGCACGCTCGATGCAACGACATCCAGAACACTCTATTCGATGCAGATTCCCGCAACTCTTGGGCTGGCTTCACTGCCGCACATGGTTTTGGCACAGCCCAACTACTTCCAATTTCTTGTCCTTTTTATAAACGTAGTAGAATTATCATTGTTACTAGTTCTTATTACTGTGTTTACCACTATTATTGTTACTATTACTACCTAAAGTCAAGAGCAAGGCTTATGCCCTTCACCTCCACCCTTCCACGCATGAATCGTCGGCCGCAAACCCGACACCCAAGCCCGACAAATCTTGCCCTCAACGGGTTTAGGGCTAGGAGTCTAGGATTTTGGCCATCGGTCCCAGGGCGGATCCCTTGGCAAAGCTCTGCCGCTCGCCCCCCTCAGAGCGAAGCAGGCAGTTGAATGCAGCTCTTCGTTAAGTTGAGGGGTGGGGGGGGGTATGTGCCTAATTACCTATTGATAGCAATGGATGTGGCTGGTAATAGGCATTTCCCGGACAAGAAGTGTATCGGGAACAGTAATAGTATAAGTACAAGCAATATGCCTTAAAATGGGAGTCGTGGTGCTCCACGCTTTGTGGTGCCTGCGTAAAGCTCAAGATTCAGGTTCTCGGGAGTGGCATTTAGACGTTTTAATTGGCTGCAACTCCAATCCCTAGACTCCAAACTTACGAACCTTAAAGCCTATACAGTCCCTAAACTCCAAAATCTAAACCCTAACGTAGAACTGCGGACTTAGGTTACACGGTTTCACAAGTTGCAGATCTTCAGGGCCGCTGTCCCATGGAATGGGGAGGGTGAAGTTTCGGGCTCTGGTCAGCTGCACACGGTTCAGGGTTAGTTTGGGGATCCCAGGACTCATATGTTAAGGCTTTTGGGCCCAAAGACCATACCGTATAAGGCTTTTGGGCTATTTTGATCCCTAGGGTTAGGGTCAGCTACATCTTGAGTTTGGCAAGGTTACAACTAAAGGTCGAAGGTTCAGGGCTTTTCGGGGTTAGGGTGGGGGTTTGAGGATAGAGCTTTTGCAGAGCGGGACGCTGCTCAGGGAAAGTTGCACTTGCGCAAGTCTCGGGCGAGAACGGCCATTATGCGCATCCGTTTACGGTCGTCTCCAGTTCGGCGGCTGGAGAGAAGAGGGCATTGTGGACTGGAGATACAGGCCTAAATGATAGGTGTAGAGCTTCGGGGGGGATAACTTTGGGGTTATAGGGTTCCATCACTTAAGCCAATAGATTGTAAAGGATCGATATTACTTGTGCCTGGTGCTCTTCTTTCGCATTTATTCTATTCGGCTGGTGACTTGCGAACAGGCGCCGGTGAAGGAGGACAAGAACTGCAAGACTCGATCCAAGGCACCTGCGTTTCAGCTGGGTTTAGGGTTAAGGGGAGAGGAATCACCATCCTAATCCACGTTTCATTCAGAATCAACAGGACAGCTCAGTCTTCAGTTACCATCTTCATGCTTGCCCTGACCAGCAGCAGCACCATGGACCATCATTATTTCAGGCACTGAGTTGATGTACGCCCCTGTTTCTCAGTGAGGGTCAGGGCTTCAACTTGGTCTGTAAGGGTTGCTTTAAGGGCTCTATGATAGGGTACAATAGTTTCGGGGCCTTACTACTTAGAATAGGATTTTGGGGGGCCATTATACCATAATTGAGAAACTATTAGGTGTTCCGGACCAAGGGCCAGGGTTGCCGGACGAACTGTAAGCCCGGCAAAAGCGCAACATCAAGCATTCAGTTGTTGGTTCCGTGGTAGGGTAGTATACTATAGTTACAATAAGGAACCCTAAGAAGAATGCTATTCAGGTTTTGGGGAGTTGCAAGGATACTGGGAGGTGTCCTGGGTCTCTTGGGTGTTGGCTTCTCGTTTAAGCCTGCGTTATTCGCTGTTGCTCTAGGCTTCTGGCTGCTCTGAAAATCCCTCCAAATGGAGTTCCCATATGGGAGTCCGAAAATTAGGGTTACCTTATCTTCGGGTCGTTATAATAAGGATTCTACTATTTGGGGTACTATCTTCGAGTCCCCTAATTTTGGAAACTCCCATAATTATATTTGTTTAGGGTTTAGGGTGTAGGGTTTAGGTAGTAGTAGCTCACCGCAGAACAGAATCCTGGAAACTGCTTTGGCTCGCCCAATAGCTTGTTGCCGAAACAGCAACCGACAAGTCGAAATTACCCACGAGTTTGCTGCACAAGAGAGCACCGCTCAAGAAATTTGCCAGTCCCAACGATCACTGACAAGTTGAAAGCTTTCTAAGAGATTCCAGGACAGAGGGTCAAAGCTCGAAATGCTTAAGTTGAAGGCTCTCTAAAAGATTCGAGGTCAGAGGAACCCTAAACCCTAAACCCATGGGCCCCTGAATTTCTTCAGAGCTCTCGGACTGGAAGCTACAAGTCGCCCAAATCACCACCCGCAGAGGAGCGCTGAAGCCGCAAATCCAAAAGTTCAGAGTTTTATGGTCTACTATAGGGGCCTTAATCATTAGAATAGGGTTTTTGGGGTCCATTATACTATACCTATGATAAGGAACCCCCAACATAGTATAGGTAGTTTTAGGCCCTTATAGTACACTTTCAGGGTTCCTTTTGGCTGACACTGTGCATAGGTGCCTACATGAAGTGAACACTGAGATGGGAGTGTCCGAGAATAAAGAGCCCCTCAATTCGACCCTGATATAGTAAAGGGAACTCCAGAAAGTTGGAATATGGATTAATGGTAGGATCCCCTATAATTTACCTTAAAGGGGTTAGGATAATGATATTCCAACTTTCTGGCTTCTACTGTAGGATCCTGAAGAAGAAAAGGCCCCTAGAAACCTGGAATCCCTATACACATTCCGAAGGACGAGCATGGGATGCTGAATCTGCTTGTGCCGAGAATTGCGTAGCACCTTCAGGGCGTAGGGGTGCCAGGAGCACTGCAGTGCTTTCTGCCAAAATAAGAAGCAGAAATGCTAGCGGCAGATTCATGAAAGAAACAAATAGCCCACCCAAACCTCGTACAGAAACTGTGTACCATACACCCTGCATTGCAACCATGGGGCTGTGGAGACTTATGCCAAAGATCCTGTCTTGCCTGTCTGGTTACCTGGACAGGCCAATGCGATGTCCAAGGTCGGAGACTGTGTGTCGTGTTTGGAGGTTCAGAAAACAAAGAAATCTACATACAGGAGTTTCGGAAAATTAGGGGTACCGTAGTTTGGTCCTAATAATCAGGCCCCTACTATTTAGGGTGCTATATTAGGGTCCCCGATGTTCGGAAACTCCCAACACAGATCCTGGGCCATTAGTGGCATGAGCTCCTCGGAATCTCGAAGACCATTAGTTTGTATCTGGGGGAGCCCAACAATGCGATAGGGGCCTTAATCATGATCCATACTATTTGGGGGTTCCTCATTATAATTATAACCTTAGTATAATGGGCCCCAGAACCCTATTCTAGTTAATAAGGCCCTTTTAGTAGTTCTTAACTGGGAGCCCTTACAAAACGCAGTATCGAATGATGTCATCCGAGCACAGGGGCTCCGGTGTTCAAGGTTGAGGGTTTAGGGCTTGGGGTTTGGAATGGGGTTTGGGGTTCTGGTTTAGGGGTTTAGGGTTTGGTGTAGTGTAGGGTTGAGGGTTCGGGGTATAGGGTTTAGGGTTTAGGGTTTGGAATGGGGTTTGGGGTTCAAAGGTTGGCAGATCTTTTGGTGTTTAGGATTTTGGAAAAGGCTTAGGGATTAGGTTTTAGATAATTCTCAAGGTGTAGGTACTGGGTGAAACATCACCGGTGCTCGAAGGCTTTCTGCGACCATGTACTATGAGCCTGGAGCAAGCCGCACAACTCTGTACCAAGGGATCCGTGACCGCGTCTCACTCAATGGAGCCCAGAAAGCAGAGCTGAGAAGGATGGGCATGGATACTCGGAGCCGCAGCACTGTAGATCGCAGATTGTTATCAATGGGTGAGTGTGCTGCATGGGCGTCCTGAGCCGGCAGCTGCCTGAATAGTTGCGATACAGCTTGTTGTTCGCGGAACCCTACAATAGAGATGCGTTCAGCATTTCACCCCTTTCTGGTGGCCTGCAGAAGTCTTAGGTGTTTCCCGCTTCGGAACCCTATCCTTGAGTCCCTGAACCCATCGTGCAAGGTCCTTGTCGCATAATTAAACTCAATGGCATGGTGTTGGGTTGCCGGGTCTGTGCAGGGCTTAGGGTTTGAGGATTCGCGAGTGTGAGCTCGTGCAGGGCTTGGGTTTACGTATATATGGCGTGGAACTAGCCAATACCCGAAACAGGATTGAACAGGCGCCGAGCACAACTTAATTTGAAGTTCAGGATTTATGAACTATGCAATTCGACTGGGCCGACATGGACGAAGACACAGCCTCAACTGCTGACAGATGCCAACACAAAAATGGAGACAAGGCCGTCACGTTCAAGAGCTCGACAAGTGACTCCAGACCTTCGCCCTGCACTCTGACTGGGCTTTTGGAATGGCCCTATAGGGTTTAGGGTGTAACAGGGGTTTAGGGTTTAGGGTGTAGAGGTTTACGGTTTAGAGCAGTTGGGTTTCGGTTTGGCCGCCTCGGTTCAAGATCCCAAACTCCACGGCTTGCAAAAGCTCGAAAGCCTTGTAACATAGAGGCCCTAAAAAAAAGTAGAGTCGGGTTTTGGGGTCCCTTATACTAAAACTAATATTACGGAGCCCCAAAATGGTATTGGTAAGTGTTTCGGCCCCTACACCATAAACCCCTGTTATAGATCCCCTAGAGACCATGAAACCCTAAACCCTAAACCTAAAGGACCCCTTAAAGTCCCCGGGCCCCCTTTCCTAAGCAGAACCGACCCTGCCCAGTCGCAGAGCTTGCCGGCCATCTCCCCGGGCCAGCGGCCCGAACCTCAGCATCTCAATTGGGAGTTCCGAAAATCGAGGACCTTTAGGGTTCCTTTAAAGGGTACCGCAAGGGCTCCCTTAAGGGATCTCTAGGGTTCTATTAAGGGTTTAGGGTTTAGGGGGCATGGGAGTTTCCGAAAATAGGGGACCCTAGTATAGTACCCTAATAGTAGGATCCTTATTATAAGGACCCCAAAATAAGGTGCCCCTAATCTTTGGAAACTCTCAAATGTCTGTGAGCGCGAAGTATAGGGGTCTTAATAATAAGACTAGGGGTCCCTTGGAAAGGGTCCTTAAAAGGGTTCTACAAGGAGGATCTCGAATGTTGGGGAGCATATATAACCTTTTGTAATCCTTCACGTTCCCAAGAATCCCAGAGCTTAACCTTTAGTTCCCTAGGATACTGGACAGGTATGGGTTTTCTGATTCTGGAGCTCGAATTTGTTAGGTGAAGGTGGGATTAAAGTAGGCTTGAGCAGTGAATATGCCGGCTTTTCACAGCTAGCTTTGCATTTGTTCTCCGGCTCCAAATAGAGAGGCAGTTCGCACCATCATCCCTCAGATCCGAAATCTAGAGCTACGGATCTTCTTGGGTGTAGGAGCAGCATACCACTATGGGCTATTAGACCCTAAAGATCCCTATTAGGACCCTATTAAGGGTAGATTAAGGTACCCATAAGGTCTAATAGCCCATAGTGGTACCTACCAGTGCTCCTGAGCCCTGAAACCCGTCGAACCCTACAGCCCTCCCAAGGCCTCGAGGACCTGCCGCAAAGTCTTGAAACGAGAGTCCCAAAACCTTTTGAAGGAGCCCTCGGAGGATCTTCAAAGGAACCCGATTTTCGGAAACTCCCAATACCCCTAAACCCTAAACCCTTAATAGAACCCTATAGATCCCTTAAGGGAGCCCTTACGGTACCCTTTAAAGGTTACAAAGCCCATAAGCCGCAGGGCGCATGCTCAGCGGGAGGCTGCCCAGGCTGGTTGTTGGGTTTCTTTGTCGAGTCGAGTGCAGTGTAGTCGCTTGCGGCTTAGGGAGTTTAGGGTCTGGGTGTTCTGTCGTCGCCATCGTCACAATCGTGGGAGTAGCGGCAAAGTTCAGGGCGCCTTGAACCGCAATGAGGATGAGTGTTTGGGGAAAGTGCAAGCCTAGACCTGGAAAGGAACTTTAACTGATGGGCTTCAATCTTTCAAGATCGGTATCATTGATCTGGGAGTCTCTAAACCCTAAGCCCTGTGCCCTAAACCCAAAACCGGGTCGTGGATGATGTTTGAGACTTGGTACTTGGTACTCTTGAGGCTTGGCGTCGCCCTTTCTGTCATGAACTGTATCCAAAAATTCCCGAAGCTGAGGACGGAAGGTTCCGCTACCTCTATCGCAATTTAGGGTTTCAGTGTTAAGGTCCAGGGGTTTAGGATTTAAACGGGTTTAGGGGTTTAAGGTTTAGGGGTTCAGGGTTTAAGGTTTAGCGTTTGGTAAGGCTCAACTGCAACCTATTGCTGCAGGCGCGGATGCAAGGCTTGCAGGTGCGGGCTTTCGACATGAGATGAGGCAGCAATGCAACATAGGAGGCAGCGTTAGAAAAGTAGCGAAGATGACAGTCAAGGCATAATTATCCGAGCATCAAAGCGTCTTCAAGCACATGCATCATGTAGCATTCCAGTCGAACTCGAATACCTCTGGATACCTTAACATGGCCACACGTCAAGTTTCAGAGTCTCACCGAATCCATCGTAGCTGACCATTGCACGTTCTGTGCAGCAACACGGTTGAACGAAAGCATGAGTGGCAACTGAGGAAGGGAATTGCTTTGTTCTTGCCTATGTGGCCGAAGTTGCATGATATGTCTGGAACAAAACTTGTGTTAAAACCTATGGAAACTAGTACTGTGAACGAGGATTGGGTAGTACTAGCTCAGCATAATCAGTAAAAAGGGGTAAAGTAAAGGTACAGGGACAACGCAAAAGAAAGGTGCCCTCTTCGGGAGAAGGTAAAGTAAAGGTACCGGCAAAAGAAAGGTAACAGGAAGGTGCCTTCTTCGGGAGAATTTAACAGAAAGAGGACCGCTGGGCGGGCGCGCGCCGCGCGGGGGAAGGGGGGCGAGTCAGGGACGAGAGGGGGCTTCCTCTGCTTTCGCTTTTTTGCCTTTCCACCCCCCGCCTCGCCTTTTCCTAGGAAAAGGGTAAACAAAGGTAAAACGAAGGCAAAAAGAAGGCAAAGGTGATAACAAAGTAAAAAGAAAATGAAATCGCAAACAACGGTAGCACAAAGATGAACGGAAACGGTAAAGACAAGCAGGCCCGTAAGACCAAAGGTAAAGACGAAGGTGCTGGGAACAGGTAGATACGAAACAAGGTAAAAGCAAAGTATCAGGAAAAAGTAGAGGCCAGAAGGGACCGAAAAGCAAAACAAGTACAAGCCTGCCCGATACCTTTTGTGATTTTTTCTCTTGGTATGTTATCTTTTGTTTTCTCATATGTTTTTGTGTTACTCTCTTCACATTTTTACGTATGTATGTGTATATATATAGATATATATATATATAGATATATATATATATATATAGATATATATAGATAGTTAAAGAAAATATTATTGCATATCGGAATGATATTATATTCTCGACTTGTAATTTAATTAGACTAGATACGGATATTAGTAAAATATAATTGGCATCTAACTCATATTAGGATTTTCAGATATATTAAAAATCTGGATAATATTCAGAGAAAGATACGAGAGATAGAAAGAATTAATAATAATATTGATATTTTGATAGGATAGAATAAGAATAGAAAATTTACGTAGATTATGAACAAATAAAATATAAGCTCGAATAAGTCGTTTCTAAAATATTATAAAAAATAGATGATGAAAATATTAATATATATATATATATAATTGATATATCTATAAAAATATTCAATATTCTTCTTTTGAAAATAAATTTTTGCATAAATCGATTAAGAAAAGAAATATAGAAATATAGCTTATTCTCTCTTGATCGGAATATTGATTTCATTTATAGAATATATTATATACCAGGAAAATCAATTAATATATCGCATCATATTTCGCATGATTATTTATTATTCATAATAGATAATATTTCTATATAATATATATTTCTATCAAAATAATTCAAAAGAAATATATATCTTACTAAGCTATATAGAATCTTTATTATTTGATTCGACGGATAGCTCTGATAATTTCAATTTTTCGGATTTGGGATTTAGGATGATATTTTAGGTTTGAGAATACGATCGGATACGAATTCGAAAGATAGAAAATTTTTTGATAGAGATTGATAGAGCGTTCTAGAGGAGTCTGCATGGTATTATTTGTAGAGTGCACGATTTGTGATGCGCTGTGTTGTGTTGTGAGGTGTTGTGCGTGATGTTGCGTATGTTGTGTTGTGTGGTAAGGGTGGTGCGATATGAGATACGTATTATATGATGTGAGTGGTGCATGTTGTGTGGTGTGTGTTGTGCGATGTGTGTTGTGTGTTCTGTGTTGTTTGTGTTGTCTGTGTTGTTTGTCATGTCTGTGTTGTGTGTGACGTGCGCGTCGTGTGTGTGTTCGGTGTGTGTCGCGTGCGTTATAT